ACACTGTCATTGAGGTCCCTTCCACTCCTGCTGGCGTAACTTTATTGATAAAGGTAAGTCCTTGGTTGTTAGTCAGGTATATTATCAGCAATTAAGTCCTTGATAGCTGTGACCAAAGGACTATTAATAGAATGTCAGTAACATACAGGATTTGGTGAAAAACTCGTTGTTGCCTCTAGATGTAAAACGCCTCAACAAAGATTTGAGTTGAGACAAGTTTTTATTCTGCCGTGTAATATAATTTAAGTAAGATCATGCACAAGAAAGGTAAACTGTCCCCCTGAGCCCCTCTATTCATGGTTCAAGTCAAGCTGGATTGCTAATAAGACGAAAATTCACAGTCGAGAAGGTGGTTCAAGCAGAAACCAAATGACTTTTTGGTAAAGAGAATCTCAATGCAAAATAAAGCCTTCTTTTCCTTTTATAGATAGTGTGTATTAGCTAAAATTTCCAATTACTGTGAGAATTTAGTGAATTTATCTAAAATTTATATACAATTAATTATTTATTCTTGTTTTTAATTACCCAAACATTTTCCTAGATAAATATAAGTTCAGCCAGAGTACTTCAAACAAAACAAACCATTAATGAATTTAAGGGGCAGATAAAATTCGCTTACTTGATAGTTTTAATCTGATAATTTAGCTGCATAAAGTGAAGTAAAAGAAAAATGCAAGGTTTTCCTAGCATTCTGGGCAAGGTCTATCAAAGAATTACTTCAGAATCTTGGTTGTAATGTAGTTAAAGCCTTTTCATAGCCGTTATAGCCTTGCCGACTAGAGTTAAACATAATTATATATTTTTAAGGCACTCACTTCGGTGTACTGGATCATTTAAAGAACGTTTTTCAGAGCATTTTGCAGACAAGAAGTGTCTACTTGGAAATTGATAAATTAAACTTACTGAAGTGTTTATTTCTCTCTAGGCCTAATAAAAACCATAGGCTATGAGTATATATATATATATTACTTATGAGAATAAGCTGGTGAGATTCCTTTATAGTTAGCATAAAGCAGTCGAATGAATGAGGCCAAATTCGAATGGTATTTGTTAAATGAACTTGCAGAAAAACGCATAGAAAGTTTAACCGGAGCCATAGCAACTCTTTTTGAAGACAGCCTCAGCCAGAACGTTCAAGTAAGGTCAGAAGGCAAGTGGGCGTCGTCTTCTAGTGGAATCGAACTCCGGATCACTTCATCACACTGGAAGTGGGTTTACCAAATGTCTATCTGCCGTAAAACCCAAAGCCATTACTTTATACCAGCTATGTAGGTTGTAATCTATCGGTAAATCTGCAATTAGTACCTTAATGCTACCTAGCTTATACCTTACTCTCATTTATACACTCCTTTCTTTCAGGTGTCTTCTTACTTCATCACTCAATTTGCTTTTTATTATCTCTTACTTATTAATTATATTTTCTGATAATTTTATTATTTCCCTTGATCTTAATCTATTAGCCTTGGAACAACGTTCTATAACCATTCAAGAGGTAGACACTATGATGGATCAGCCTTCTTGCCCACTTCCAACAAACATATGCCAAATGTCCTTCGAAGAATCAACCTCCAAAGGCGGCGCGATTGCTAACCAGAAGACAACAGCCGCCACATTTTCTAGCCAAGTTGAGGCTGACTCAATTCAGTCACCTACACCAGACTTGGACAATTTACAAGACCCTACGGCTCCATTTCCATGTGCCAATCTTGATGAACAAAACAGGACCACTCACGTATTGAATATGCAAGTTAACCAAATGGCCACCAAGTCAGCTGGAGCCTCTCGACTCTGGGGCTCGTCTAATGAGCGTCGGACAAAAAATTCAGTATATATGCATACCAATAGGGTGAGTAGTGTGTTGGGTAGGCACGAAACTCCCGAGGGTATTTACTCCTCCAATTTACGGGCTTCTATGCTGAGGCCTAAGTCTTTCTACAAAGCGAAGACAACAAGCGAAGACGAGCAGCTTGAGTTGGATTTCAAAGCTACGACAGGACCTGACAACTCTTTCGGTGCTTCACTTGGAGTCATCGGCCAAGAGGGGTCTTTGCTACAATACTCAGGCCCCAATCAACGCCTAAAGAGGCTGTTAGAATTGCTCAAGTACGAATGTAGAGCAGATGAGACTGAGC